AATATTGAAAAAAGCTTATCCCCAACTCCTTTACAGACCATACCATTTCTCGAAACTCCCCTTCAAAAAACTCCAATGAGTGAATGGACTCGTGTTACGCTAAAAGTGTGGCGGAAAGTAAAATCATCATTTGGTCTGCCCAGGGCTTTTTCTGCACTAAGCAATATAGGATATCTGAAAGGCTTCGTGCCGCCTCACACAGACGCAGGTTTTAGAAAGTGGTCAGCTAATGGGCTCACTAATTTATATCATCTCCATAAGGATGGATGTCTTAAATCGTTTGACCAACTAAAGGGGGAATTCAAAATTCAAAGCACAGACTTTTTTAGATATCTACAATTGAGGGACTTCCTAACTAAACATGATGAATGGTATAAAGTTCTGAATCCTACCCCGGTCGAGGAGTTCTTAATAAAACTGCAAACAAGGAATGTGACTAATAAAGTTATGTCGTATGTACAAAATATTTTCGGATATGAGTCAGACCAACACAAAGGTAAAAGAGAAATGGGAATCTGAAATGAATACATATATACCTCAGGACATGTGGGAAGAAATATGTACTGAGGCACATCTACTGTAGTTACTAACTCGAATATATGGAGAGAGTATAAGTGGAAGATAATCATGAGATTATTTTATACTCTGGAAATAATGACTAAGATGCGCCTAATAAATTCCAATAAATGTTGGAGACACTGTGGCACGTAAATGGCACACCATACCCATGTGTTTTGGACTTGCCCTAAAGTACAGAAGTTCTGGGATGAAGTGTTTGAGACCCTCAGAAAGATAATTTGTAGAAATATTATGAGAGACCCAAAGATGGCAATACTGGGAGTAATGCCGAGTTGCGTTGAGGGAAGATCTGATAAATACCTACTAGAAATACTACTAACGGCGGCAACTAAATGTATCACATTAAAGTGGTTACAATCTGACCCCCCAACACATAGTTTATGGGTTGAGAAGGTATGGGAAATCTATCAGATGGAATCAATAACATATTCCCTGAGGCTTCAAAAGGATGTTTTTGTTAAAAGGTGGAGTCCTGCTACTGCCATACTAAAACAACATGGTATCTAATTACTAATAAATTAATTTATTCATTAATTATTTTATCTATTTATTTATTTTATGTATATGTATGTGGATGTGTGTGTATATCTATATATATATATATATATATATATATTTTTTTATTATTATTTTTTTCTCTCTAACATTTATGTCTGTTTACCATTGTCATTATTATTCCCTGTATGTGTAGATAATCTTCTCAGGTTATACTTTAGAATTGGAAATGGTGAAGAATTCATTTGAAAATGTTATTTGTATAACCTGTTAAAACTGCAATAAAAACTAAGTTCTAAAAAAAAAATAAAAAATAGTGTGAGTGCTGGTAAAGCACCACTGCTGACTGTACCTGCCCACAATGGTCCTCTGTCTGGGCACGTTTCAGTACCGTAAGGTGTACTGGGGGTGGCCAATCTTATCCACAAAGGGACGCTCTGTGTGCGGGTTTTCGCTGAAACTCCCTAATTAGTTTACTAATCAGAGGACTGATTGGCTGAAGAGTCCTCACACCTGGGTTTGAACAGCTGACCTAAAGGTTACCCAGAGAACCCGCAGACACACCGGCCCTTTGTGGGTAAGACTGCATACCCCTGAGGTGTACGGATCATAGCATCCTGGTATAGAAGGTCCTTGGGAGCAGTATGTTCACACAGGTATTCCATGATCACAGGGGGATTCACTCTTCAGAAAGGATAAGGGCACCGTTAGAGCCAAAATGAGCTTTTCAGCTAAATTTCTCAAAAGTACTTGGTCCTAGTGTCTTCTGCAGCATAGAGGAGGTTAATATGCTCCACGTTCTACACTGGCTTGTTCAGCTTGTGGGGCAATCCCCTAACGCAGTCACATGACTCCGGAAAATCAGGGAGGTCTGGCACAGTTGCCGCGTTGTTTCCAGGACTGAGGATTTCCGTGCGGCCAAGTCCCTGAAGGAGCACCTGAGAACACTGTAAACACAAAAGTTCCTTACAGCACGATCTTAAAACAGCCGGTATCTCTTTAAATAATTTAACATTTGTGTTTTTTTTTCTCCAGATTTTTTATTAAGGAAACATTCTCCATTTGTTAACGCTTTAATTACTTTAATCATCTCTGTGTGACAGACAAGTGACAGCCACTGACGTTACGGCCACACACATTTTACTCAGAATGTTAAATGAATCTGATCATTTGTTTTCCAGCATTCGCAGGACATCGCAAAACAGTTTGACAGCGTCAGTGTGGATCTGAACAGCATTATACTGCTGGAGCCCAGCGGGAAAGAGAACCTATTGAGTTTTAACAAGACGGGAGTTGACAAGATAAATTACCCAGAATACCTTGCTGAGGTGAGTCTGAATGAAAGTTTCCAGTGGCTGTGGGGATGGTCTGCATATGTGCTCTTCAGCCCAGTGGAAATGGATTACTGGTACAGCTTGTAAAGTCTCATGTCTCTGCACCACATACACGCCAGTGTTCAGAGTGTATCCTAAATGTACCACATTTGCGTAAATGTAAACATCTAATGCGTAATCGCAAAATCACACTGAATTGCTGTGCTTATATATCGAGCATGGTGTTTTTGCAGTTCTCTGAGATGCTGGAATCACCTTCAGTGTTTTTGCAGTTCTCTGGGATGTTGGAATCACCTTCAGTGTTTGTGGAGTGCTCTGAGATGCTACAATCACCTTTGGTGTTTTTGCAGTTCTCTGAGATGCTGGAATCACCTTCAGTGTTTTTGCAGTTCTTTGAGATGCTGGAATCACCTTCAGAGTTTTTGCAGTTCTCCGAGATGCTACAATCACCTTTGGTGTTTTTGCAGTGCTCTGAGATGCTGGAATCACCTTCAGTGTTTTTGCAGTTCTTTGAGATGCTGGAATCACCTTCAGAGTTTTTGCAGTTCTCTGCTAGAATCGCCTTTGGTGTTTTTTCAGTGCCCCATGATGCTGGAATCACCTTCAGTGTTTTTGGAGTGCTCTGAGATGCTAGAATCACCTTTGGTGTTTTTGCAGTATTCCGAGACGCTGGAATCACCTTCGGTGTTTTTGCAGTGCTCCGAGATGCTACAATCACCTTTGGTGTTTTTGCAGTGCTCCGAGATGCTACAGTCACCTTTGGTGTTTTTGCAGTGCTCCGAGACGCTGGAATCACCTTCGGTGTTTTTGCAGTGCTCCGAGATGCTACAATCACCTTTGGTGTTTTTGCAGTGCTCCGAGATGCTACAATCATCTTCGGTGTTTTTGCAGTGCTCCGGGATGCTAGAATCACCTTCGGTGTTTTTGCAGTGCTCTGTGATGCTAGAATCACCTTCGCTGTTTTTCCTCAGGTTAACAAGAGCATCACAGTTGTTGATCTGCTGGTGTTCGCTGACAACCTGGAGAATCAGGTGAACAAGCTGGTAAGTCCAACAAACAAGAAGACTGAAAAAATAAGTGTTACATGTGTGTTTCTGAGGGCGGCATGGTGGCCCAGTAGGTGGCACTATTTGCTCGTACCTCCAGGGTTGGGGGTTCGAATCCCGCCTGTGCTCTGTGTGTGTGGAACTTGCAGTGAGAATGTTGGTGTATGAGCCCAGCAGTGGGTGTACCCCTGCCTTGTACTGCCTAAGATAGACCCTAGCACCCCCAAGATCCTGATGAAGCTATAAGATTGATTATAGATATATCACCAGTTTAATACTTTGTTTCACTTTTGGTCCTGGTTCCTGAATGAACTCTTGAAATGTGTAAAAGTGCAGCTTCAGGTTTTGACATAAGAAACGTCTTTCCCTCCGCAGCCACAGGAACTGCAGGGCAACCTGAGAACTCAAGTGTCCAACATCCGGGATATCCACAACAAGCAAGTAATCCCCATGCAGCACAGCGCGGTAAGGAATCGCTACTGACAATGCGGGAATTTCTGTGGGCTACGTGTGAATCCAGGTCATACCAGTTAGTCGTTAAGCTGGACGTCGTGGGAAGAGCACAGATCTGTGGAATCTGCCGGTCATCTGTGGTCCACTGCTCACTAACTCGTGCTTCTCTGTCACTTACAGTGATGATTTCCGTGGATACGGGTTTCCATATTAAATTTCTGTGCTTCTGTAATGCAAAAATGTTAAAAATGCTAACACTAGACAGGCAGTTTCTCTTCCATGTTCACCTTCCCTAACATTTCTCACATCCTTTCTAATGCTTGCAAAGAAATACGATGAGGCGAGGGTTAGCATTTTTAAAATATTTCTTTAACTCTGTGAGTGAGGTGAGGGATGCTGTTTTCCGATAACAGTTCGGAGGGGCTCATCTGTATCAGTGACTTTTAATGAGTAGATTTGGAAAAAATGCTACCTGGTATTGCTTTCGCATGTGTGTGACATCATATCCCAAAGCAATCTTTATCTGAGGGATTTGGGGAAGCACATTGTGATCTTGGACCTTTGATACACGCTGTTAAAGTATTAGCACGTGTCCAACTGTAACTAGACTATTAAAAAACAAAATGCTTTGGGTCTAGACCATAATAACTTGAGTTTCTTTTGTTAACGTTCGTCACACCCCCCCCAAAAGACCACTTTGAGCCAGAGTGTCCAACGGCTGCAGAGTCTCACGTCCAACCTTCCAGTAAGTTCTACCTGATCCCTTTAGCCTCACTGGCCAGACTGACACTACAAGTCCAGATAGACCTTCAGAAGTATATATCTGATTTTTTATGTTCGTTAAGTGTTCGTCCTTGCTGTCGTGGTTTGCAAAGATAGTTTTGGTTTTTTAGTATTAGGGTGGTGTAGTTCTGCACTGTAAGAGTAATTGACAGATGGACAGACAGACAAAAGGATAATACAGAAAATTATTAAGATGTTTTAAACATTTTTTCTTGCTTTGCAGAGCAGAATCGCAGATACACTGAAGGCCATTGACAGTGCACAAAACATCACCCACAATGCAACGCACATCATCACCCAGGTAGCTAAAGTTACGTCAGTTTTTATTCTGCAATAAAAAAACAGGAATGTTTCAGAATCATGAAGGGCCATCATTGTTCTCCTGCTTCAGGAAACTGGGAATTACAGGGACCGCTTAATTGGCTACTTTGAGCAGTACATCAACTGGGTCAAGACATCGGTAAGTGTTTCATTTTCCGATTGTCTACACAGTTTGCCAGGAGCTTTTCTCCTTGACTCAGAGGTACAAACTTGTGCGCTGTGCCCGTTTCCCAGCTGGCCATGGACGTGGCCTCCTGCAAGCCCATCAGCAACCTCGTGGACTCTGTGGACCTTGTGGCCTGCAGCTTCGTAGTGGACTCACTGGTAAGTTGAAAAAGCTTCTCGCGGCACGTGGGGAAAGTGCGCAGTGCAGAGTACAGTGCAGAGTACAGTGCTGAGTACAGTGCATCTACAGACTTGCCTCGGTGGCCATGGAGACAAAACCCCCCGGTGGGGAGGGGGCACTCTCTGCTCCGAGGTTACAGGTTTTTGGGTCAGACCCATGGGACCGTGTGGCGTTTGTCACATTAGCACTAATGGCGTATGTGTGTGTGAACTGGGTGCAGTGGGAAGAAGCCCGTCACAGAGCCCCTGGACGCACGACAGAATGGGTTGAACCCTAATATGCTACACAGTGGTGGATTTGTTCTTTTGGGAGCCCCACGCAAAAACCCAGTTTGGCCCTCCCCCGAATGTTTCAAAAACTAACCAAAAAAAACTAAATAAATAGCTAGCAGAACGTGCTGCCTCAGGATCTCCTAAGTAAGGGACGTGTTTGTTTAATGTTTAGCATCGGGAGAGTTTGCGGTCAGGGGCATTATGCATAAAATTGAACAGGGGGGCCCAAGGTGACATTTTGTCGGGGGGGGGGCAGAATTTCTATGTACACCCCTGTTTGTGACCCCCCCCAGGGGCTCCTTGGGGACCCGACACAAATGCAGTGGGGGTGAATACTGCCACTTCTAGTACAGTATCTTTGGGGATCACTGCTTGTAGTTTGATACATTTTTAGAAGATCTATGCAACTTGTGTAGAAGTGCCCAGCGGCTGAGAGCTTAGTGCGCCAGTCCCGTCTGCCCGACGGCGGCCTCAGTGCGCCCGTCCCGTCTGCCCGACGGCGGCCTCAGTGCGCCCGTCCCGTCTGCCCGACGGCGGCCTCAGTGCGCCCGTCCCGTCTGCCCGACGGCGGCCTCAGTGGGCAGGAAGCAC